CAAACTAATCAGCACATCTCTTTATCAATAGGAATCAAATGTTTTTTGAACAATTCAAATGGGTTGATCCGTGCGCCCGAAAACGTGGACGAAAAATGGTATCCATACATACATACACACACACACATATTCATTTTTTCTGAGGTATGCCAAAAACTTCAGAAACCTTCAAAACGTCGAGAAATGCAAAATTTTCATTTTCGATTTTCGGCCCATTACTATAACTACCCTACGGGAAGTTAAAAAATGCTTTATCGTCATTAGTAGAATATATTAATCGTTTATAATATATGTTTTGGAATACTTCCTAGGAAAGTCTTATTAAATTGAAAAAGTTTTTATTTGAATCATACAATCGTGTTAACCTTCCTCGTTATTGCATTGTACTTGCAAATGCAGTAAGGCTCAAGGTAATAAAAATATATACTTATTTATTTTGTATATAAACGCATTAGATATACACTACAGGGATGTATAAACATAAATTTCATAAAAAAAATTAAATCTATATTCAACAACAATTAGAACTTAACGAGTCCTATGAGCAAATGACCACGTGGCTCATTTATTGTTGGGAACCCAAAGGCTATCTCTACATGACGAATTTATTACTACAATTTTTGTAATACCGATCAATTTTTTATTGGAAACCTATTGCTATACATTTATTATAGCATTAACATTATGATATACATTTTCAAGTGATAGTTGATGTCAATTCTGGTTGCAATCAGAGTGCCCGAGACGGTTTCGAAGCTAACACTTCTGGTTCTGATAGGAAGTCCATAGCTCTAACCATTAGGCCAAGGGGGCACATAAATTTAAATTAATTTTATAGTCGTTTGCATATATTTTTGAAGTCTCTTAAAATTATTTCAAAATTCAACCAACGCAAAAGCAATTTATAAGTATGTTTATAGCATAGAGTTTATAGTTAGTTGCCAATTAGAATGTCCTATTTTTTGCATAGTACAAACTTAAATCATTGTATTTTTGTATATTAAATAAATATGTTTAAATTTAATTTATTTGTATATTTTTTATCTTTTTTTGTTTGGCCCTGTCCTGGTGTATCAACATGAAATAGTGATATAAATTGAGCGCATTAACGTCATAAGGAGGCAATGTCACGGGTTGGTACCTATATTGAGAATAAATGTTAAACGTCAACACGCAAATAACAGATATAAGATTTTCATCAAATACTTTCCTATAACAAAGCAGAAATATATACACAATAGGATTTTAATCCATTTGATTCCACGACGAATGAAAAAAATCAGCAAGGTGCGAGTCGAGATCAAAATAAAATACCCAAATTAAATAATACTTGAGAAAAGTAATATATGAAAAAATTTCAAAAATTTGAATTCATTTGTCGCTAAGTTATGCCTAAAAAATTTTTTTTTTAATTTTCCAAATTTTTTCTATGCTCTTACCATACAAAGTTTGATTGATTTGCGCACTATCTAAAAGTTAATATTAAGAGCTAAAACTCTCAGAGATTTGTTTTTCATCAATTTGGAACCATTTGAGCCCTTGGGAGCAAGGAAATTCGAAAATGTCCATATTAAGGACCACCCTAAATATATATATATATATATATATATATATATATATATAAATGATTAAGACTAACTCATTTTTTTATTACATTCAATATTCCTCGAACATTTCGTTACGGTACTGGAAGTTCCAGCAATTCGCCTTAAGGCACAATCAAGTTTGATTCTTAAATACAATATTGTTTGGCATAAATATTTGATTTGTCAACTGGCACTAGCATCGAAATAGGGAAAATCGATAGCTACTAATTATAATATCAGGCATTTAATTGCTTTAATGAAACTTAATTTTAGCTGCAACTTGCCATCAGAAAAATGATCGTATATAATAATTGTTTATTATTATTAATATTTCCATTTCCCCAGGTGCTTATGGGATTGTTTGGAAAGCGATGGATAGGAAATCCAGGGAGGTGATAGCTCTGAAGAAAATTTACGATGCCTTTCGAAACCCCACGGACGCCCAAAGAACTTTTAGGGAAATCATGTTCCTGCAAGCATTTAAAGATCACCCTAATATCGTGAGATTGTACAGTATACACAGGTAAATACCTGAAACGAATAATAAAAGTTTTGTCCCCTGTAATAAATCAAAAGATAATGAGATACTTAATCGTACTACTGGGGCTAAACGATTTCGAAAAACATTAAAAATTTACTCTGAAAAAATCAGATTTCTGAAAAACTATAAATTTTTGACAAAAATTTACTTTTTTTTTGAAAAAAAAGACTTTTTAAAGAAAAATTTATTTTGAAATATTTTGAAAATTCTGAACTTTTTTTCAAAGCAATCGTACTGCTTTAACTGCATAGAGACGAAATATCAATGCGCATAAACGCCGCGTCGCCGTCTAACGGATAAACATTGGTACGGAACCCATAGGAATGTAAACAAAATTTATACTTATTGTTAAAATCTCTATAAAATATCTGATAATTTGATGTGCATGTGTCTAATGATTATTTTTGACCGCCAAATGGCATTTATTTTTACTTTTTTTATTAGATCTCCGAAACCGCTAGACCTGCCTTCGTGAAAATTTGATCAGTTCTTCATCTTGTAAATACAAGTAAAATGTTTTTCGAATTATTAAAATCGGACGCTCCATTCTCTTAAAAACTGAGTTACCGTTTTTGGCACTTTTTGCCCCGTGTCTTCGGAACGGCTAGACCTGCCTTTGCCAAAAACTAATCAGCACGTCTCCTTATCAATACGAATCGAATGTTTTTTGAATTATTCAAATCGGTTGATCGGTGTTCCCGAAATTCTCGACGAAAATTTGTATCCGCACACATATACACACACACATACATCATTTTTTTTCTAAGGTATGCCAAAATATTCAGAAACCTCTGAAACGTAAAGATATATAAAAATTTTCATTTTCGATTTTTTTGCGATTACTATAACTTGCCCTACGGGAAGTTAATAATGTCTTTAAATTGACAATTATTCGTCATCTGGAGTATATTAAACATTTTCGCTCCAAATATTACTTAGAAATTATTTATTCTGACACATAAGAATGATTTATATACCCTAGATAATAATTACATTTCTTATCTATTTTTTGCCTCATAAATATAAAATAATTTACAGAGCAATCAATAACCAGGACATATACCTTGGCTTCGAATACATGGAAACGGATCTTCACAATGTCATCAAAAGGGGAAACATTCTCAAAGACATCCACAAAAGGTCAGTAGAACAATTTATATAATAACTCATCGTGACATGGTCAAAATAAATTACTTACATATACAAAATTACTAAATCAGCACAAATCGATTGATGGTATATGAATAAATTGGGGCGGGGGGTGTATCGCAGTCCAAAAAGATTAACATTTTGAAAAATTTTTACTTTGAAAAAATTATATTTTTGAGATACTATAAATTTTTGACGAAAATTGACTTTTTTAGAAAAAAAGACTTTTTGAAACAAAATGTTTTCTTTAATTTGAAATATTTTGGAAATTTTGAACTTTTTTTCAAAGCAATCGTACTGCTTTAACTGCATAGAGACGAATATAAAATCGCGTAAGCGCCGCGTCGCCGTCTAACTGATAAACATTGGTACGGAACCCATAGGAATGTAAACAAAATTTATACTTATTGTTAAAATCTCTATAAAATATCTGACGTGGCACTTTTTGCACCGTATCTTCGAACCGGCTATACCTGCCTATGCCAAAAACTAATCAGCACGTCTCCTTATCAAGAGCAATCGAATGCTTTTTGAATAATTGAAATCGGTTAAACCGTGTTCCCAAAATCGTCGATGAAAATTTGCATCCGCACACACACACACACATTCCATTACATCCATTTTTTTAAGGTATGCCAAAATGTTCAGAAGGTTTTAAAACGTAAAGATATATAATAATTTTACCCTACGGGAAGTTAAATATTATTTCTAGATTCCAGTTATTTCCTAGATGAAACAAATTTAAAAAATATTCATCTGTAAAACAGGATAGCACGTTATATCGCCTGATCATTCGTGCTGTTTATTACGATTGCTAATATCGATATGAAATACACGCCACGAAAAATCAATGAAAAACATATCCAAGTATAATTTTCACGATAAGAGAACAAGGTCGAAAAGAATTATTGAGGATATACCAAATCGAGCCGTTTCGAATTAATTACTATGAGTCGTGATCCTTATCATGCTCTAATTACAGAAATTTGGCAGAAACTTGTATATTTTTAGCATCTACTCTTGAAGAAAAATAAATCTTTATGAAGTTAATATTCTGTAGAAATAATCTAACTTATTTTTATTTAAGCATCTATAATTCTTTCTTATTTTTCAGATACATCATGTACCAAATGTTGAGCGCTACTCGATATATCCATTCAGGCAACGTAATACACAGGGATCAAAAACCTTCCAACGTTTTATTGGACAGCTCGTGCAGGTAATCTACATACATTATAATATTTTTAAATAAAAAATCGTTTTAAATTATCATTCCTGTTTTTAGAGCCAAAATAGCTGATTTCGGTTTGGCCCGAAGTGTAAATCACAAAGACAATATGGATGGAGAAATGGAAGTGGACCCAACTCTCACAAATTATGTAGCCACAAGATGGTATCGGGCTCCTGAAATTCTAACCGCTAGCAAAAAGTAAGCTTGATAAAAAAATTATTAAATAGGTAAATTAATTATTTTTCATCCTTTCTCAGGTATACCAAATGTGTTGACATGTGGAGCTTAGGATGCATTTTAGGCGAAATGTTACGCGGAAAACCACTTTTCCAAGGAAACAGCACCATCAACCAAGTGGAAAAAATTATGGCAGCTTTACCAACACCTAGTCAAGAAGGTATAATTCATAACAAGAATAAACAACTATATATAATTATTATATTTTATCCCTTGCGTTGTTTTTATCATTTTTATGTTTATTGTAAATTCAGTATCATTACAGATATAATAAGCGTTTGTTCTGGTTATGGAAGCGCCCTGGTGTCAACTCAGCCTACACCAGACAGATCTTTACATTCTCTTATGGAAGGTTACCCAGAAGATGCCAGAGATTTAGTAGAATCATTAATTGTCCTTAATCCGAATCATCGACTAACTGCTTCGGAGGCTTTGGAGCACGAATACGTAAGGAGGTAAAAGAATATCACATATTTAAATAAATTGATAATTAGAGAAATTACTTAGTACATTAATATAATATTCGTTTTTTAATTTCTTAAATGAGCTTTTCTCAATTATCGGATTGGACATTATGTAAGTTCTTATACGACTTCTTAAGTAAATAAACAAAAATTTGTTTGTAAACAATTTATGTAATGTGCTCCAAATAATCATTACAACCAATAAGTTTTTTAATAAACTTTAACTATTTTTTACCCGTGCCATTTAATTTTGCAGCAGATTCTACCGAAAATCAGGAGAAATGATTATGCCTTACAACGTAGTACCGCCACTAAGAGATGATGTCCAACTTTCAGTGGATGACTACCGAAACAAATTATATGAATACATAAATACTGGTGGTGGACATTTATCTACAACCCCAAAAATATCAATTAGAAATCAGAGATTGACAATATCTAACCAAAGAATGATACCAACCGCACCCCAACAACCACCTCCTCCAACCAGACAAAGGTCTTTAATTTTGAGACCGAGAAGAGAGCAGGCTGAATATCAAACGACGCTTCACAGACCACAAACAGTTGTCAAGAGAAGTAATACATCGATGGTAAACAATAATTGATTGAATTTAAAAATAAATGATTAGTATTTACCATTTATTTATATTAATCCTGCGTTCCCAGATTGATGATAACTCCATGCACATGACTCAAGGAAGACTAACCAGCAGCCAAGCTCAACAAAGGCAACCTACTGCCAAATCTGCAGCGACTACCACATATGAAAGAAATCATAAGCAGGGAATAACTCCTATTAGAAAGTCCATGTCGAGCAAATCGAGCAATACTGTTCATTCTGAGCCAAAAATTTATTGCAAACGACGAGTTGACTACACAGAAGGAGCAAATATGACACCAGCAGCAGGAGATATTGGAAGAATGCAGCATGGATTCAGTCAACTGAACTTGGCTACGCCCATATCATATCCGGTAAGTTCTTTTTTTTTTAAAACCTTTTTTCTTTTTTTAATCCAAAAGTATCCAAATAATACTATAATTATCATTAACCCAAATCTTTTGCATATTGCAACCACGATACAGGCCAATCTGTAAGTGTTTGTACTAATAGCTCATAAAATTGTTTTATATTTTCTTTAATTTTTCCATCTATTTTCAGCGATCACAAACTAGATCGAGCGATTCGAACATGCGATCGAAACTAGAAGTGATTTATAACCATGGCGATCACAATGAAACTAAACTAAAAGAACGCATCCGACGACATTCAACTAACGATAGACACACAAAAGCTGAGGCAAACCATTACATCAGGACATCAGTTTCCAGAAACTGTGCCCTCTAATCATAATCTAGAACCAGCTTCACGTTATAGCATCAGACAGAAGAAATATTCCAGTGTATCAGCAGATGAAGGTCAGCAGTATTATCAGTACAAAGATTATGGAGTGATAACGGAGAGCGCCCTGCACGAGTTAACCAGGAATTTACGGTCGGGTGTGCGATAAAAAAGCCTTTAAAAAAAGTGATATGTATAAAATATTTTATAACACTACTTTATATTTGTATTATTTTAATGAATAGTTTTGGTACAAACGCGTTTTATGCACTGAAAAAAGAATGTGATGTGTGAATTTGTACATTTTATTTGAGTGTGATTTCAATCAATATAATTTTATTTATTACTTCTAAATATTTTGTGTAAATAGAATTTGTAATTGCTTTGAAGAATAAATAAATTGTTATTGACTTGAACCGCACATTTATTACTGATATAGGATATAAGTAGGAACTTCATAAAAAAGTAATAAAAATTTTAGGATCTTTAGTTAAATACGTTTATTATATCCTATCAATACAAAATTATATATTAATTAGCACAATTCATAAGACAGATCTAAAAATAACAGATCCTCTATGTTAATTAATTCTTACACTAAACTTGATAAAAGCTGAACGAACTATATAAAGTTTGTCATATTTTAAAATCACAAAAACATCTCAAAGCTCAGTTTGCTTCTTTACAAACCTCACTTTTTTGTCAGATTCTCCAGCTTCTGCAGTAGTTATAGATTCCTGACTTGAGTATTGTTCTGCATTTAATGCATCCAACTCCCTCCCTATGCTACTATCATAGCTATCATCTGATTGTTCTTCACAATCCATATTAATGCCACTATTTCTATTTGTTTTAGAAACATTTGTGATTGGCTTGCCTTCAGATTTTCTTCTCACATGGCCTTTGGTTTTGGATTAATTTGAGCATAAATAGGTTCAACGAGATTGTTTGAATCGGGGACACTTCCTACATCTGAACTACCATCTATAGTGTCAAAGGTGTAATCATTTCTAATTATAAGTCCTCCTTCTAATTTCACTATTTCTGGACCAGTATTTAAAGCATTGAGAGCATAAATGGATCCTTTGGAACTGGAATTTCCTAAATATCTCGGATTTTTTAATTCAATAAAAACTTGGGGTGGATAATTGTGATAATCTTCTGCATCTGGTGGAGCATTGAAAGATTCATTACTAATTCTGATGACCTCAACTGTGCTGTAGTGTACTATGAATAAATAAGGCTTACGATAAGTGAATGATATAGGTATATGACTCCATAAGATATCTTGAGATCTTGATCTTCGACCAACATCATCAACAAAAACACCAAACTCATTAAAGCATAACAAGTATTCATCAGAAGATATAGCTAAAACAGTTATTGGGAAAGATTTTCGTTTGTGTGCAAAAATAACATGGCTCAATGTTGTATCAGTGGAATCCAAAAATTCTTCAGCTGTGTAATCATCTGTGTTAATCTCAAAGAACTTATGAGCACAAACCATAATCGTATTTTCAGTAAACAAGACACTAGATATTGGTTCAGATGTATCTAAAATCTTGACAGCTACATATTCAGATGATAATTTATCATACTTAAATATAAGCAGATGTGTTGGTGTTGCTGCACAAAGTAAAGAGCTTTCATTGCTAGATTTTGGAGGATCAGACGCTTGGAACAAATGGCAACATTCATTAGCTTGATTGGCAAAATTAATATCAGAGACATCTAAATGAGGTTCAACACAAGCTGATCTCTGTGCCAAACTTTCTAAATGCCGCAAATCTGCAGAAACAAGTTTTCTATCTTCTCCACAAATTAATAAAGCCATATTGATGCTTCTAACAAATGCTATCTGATACACCTTCACAACACCAGTAATATTTACTGGTTTATTTCCCATTTGATAAGAATATAATCCTTCTTCAGCACCTATTAAAATACCATTTCCATTTACTTCAATTGCACAGTTAACATCTAAGACCATTTTGTAATCTTTGAATTGAATGTATTTTGATCCAGTATATTTCCTAGCGACGCAAGCATCTCCTAGACAGGATTGTAAAGCCGAGAGCCATTGTGATTTTTCTTCAGGAGACAAAGCCATAATTAAATGGGTAGTAGCTGGCCAGCATGTTGTTGTAGGTATCAATTCAATTTTGATAATAAACGGCAAATCGCTTCGCGCGGTATTGTTAACGTCGGTTTCAGAAACCTAGAAATTAATATTTTTACGCCGCATTAGCTTAATGACTAGGTAAATATATGCATTATCTTTAAAAGTAAAAACTGCAGAACATATATAACAATATAATTTTTAAAAAAATCCTGAATATGGTTGATCTTCAAATGAAATAACCTGAAATAAGTTGGTATCATATCTTAAAATCTATTACATACCTCGGGAGTAATTTGTAAATTATTTTTATTATTATTATTAATATTGTTATTATCATTATTATTATTATTTTTATTATTATTATTATTATTATTATCTTACTATTTCTATTATTGTTATTTTGTTATATTTTATTATTTTTCTAGTATTATTTTATTATTCAGAAATTTTATTTATATTATTTATTAATTTTATTTTTATTATTATTTGCTTATATTTTACATTAAATCATATTACGGATATTATTTTCATGTAAATTTTATCCTTTGCTCTTTTATTTATTTAAATTTATATTATTATTTATCAATATTACTTGATGTTAATAAATTAGCAGTTGTAATAATTATTGAAATTAAAAAAAAAAAAAAAAAAATACCTCGGGAGTGACAACAGTGCAGCTATTATCTTGTCTGAGTTGTATGGTAGTAGCTGGTTCTGATTTTCCAGATGGTTCATTTGCATAAACATGAATATCACTTCCCACAAGTTGAATATATTTTCGCTCCCAATTAGAATTATTTCTTTGCGGCAATTTAACCCATCCTCCTTTGGAGATCTGGAAACAACATTAATTTAACCCACAAAAAAAAAAACAAAAGGATATAAATATTTGTTAATCAACTTATCTTACCTCAGAATCAACAATCTTAAGGCGTTCTTCAGATTTCTCTTGAACTTCCTTTTCCTTCATCAGGGTTTCACCAAAATGTTTAGCAAATGTGTTTGGCAAGCCACAAGTTGCTGGCAATAAATGGCAGCATTTGTGATGGCACATAATACCGCATTCTAAACACGCCGATACTTGTCGACCAAATGGCAATGGTCCAGGACAGGCTGGACAACGTGCGGAACGCTTACACAATTTGTGCTCAAATCTAAAGGAACAATAAATGCAAATATTACAATAATTGAATTGATATTTAATAAGTTTGGCAATATTATTTTCATTATCACCTGTGTGGTATATTGTGCAGCATTCTCAATTTAGAAGGTTGCCGCTGAAATTCTGCATTTCTTGATGAAGGACTTTGAACAATTTCTTGCAAAGCAATCTTAGTTCGAGGTGAAGTGATTAATGCTGATTCAGAATCAGTGACCAGAGACAACATTTCACCTTTAGCACCAAGAAGTTGGGACTTTGCTTCCAACAATTGTTCAGAAAGTGTTCTATTCTTTGCCTGCTCCCTGGCAAGACTTGCTTCTGCAAAACAAATCATTCAATAGTATTTTTAAATTTCCTTAAATTATGTGTATTATATAAAAAATAATATTTTTAAAGGGCAGTACATAATTACCTAATTCTCTATAATTCATTGGTAAAACGTTGATTGGTGCAATGTTTTCCTTCTTAGAAACACCAAACAGTTTATCACTGAAAGATTTTTTTTTCTTGTTACCATCTTCTAGCTTCGTCTGGAGCAGATCAATAAGTTTTGTGTATTGTTGCAATGTGGCTTCAGATTTGACCTCACGATGTTGATAGAAAACTCTAAGCTCAGTAAGAGAATCCTCAAGCTCGTTAATATGAGCAGTTAGTGAATCTATTAAAATTAATTTTTCTTGCATTTCTGTTCTCAGTCTTGTCATTTCTTCTTTTGTAGAATACATCATGGTTAAATGTCTTGATGATTCTTCTTTCACCATGTTCAGTTCAGAGGTCAGAGCCTCATGGTGACGTTTTTCATTTTGTAAAGATGATTCTAGTGAAGAAATTAATTGCATGTTATCTGATAGTTGTGTTTCTAGGATTTCATTTCTATCTTTTTCTTCTCCAAGTTGGTTTGAAGTCAATGTCATAGATTCTCTGAATTCACTCAAATCATTTTGCAACCTGCCAAAATCATCAAAAAGCAGTGTTAAAACAACTATTTTAAAATTGTGAATACTTACATTAACCAATATAAAATTTGATATAAAAATTAGTTCATTAAAACCAATTCATTATGGGTAATATTCCTTAGTCAACATTTTCTTATTATGTACCTTTCACATCTCTTTTCAGCAATTAGTCTCAAACTACGTTCTTCATTGAATTGCCGTTTTGCTTGTAGAATTTCTTCTCGCTTTGTGTCTGTGTTAGATTCATATTCAGCAATTCTAGCTTGCAATGATTCAGCACGCTCTTCATGACCATCACAAAGAGCTTCAAGTTGTTGCAATTGATCTTCCATCATGGCACAAGCTTCTTTCAGCATTGAATTATTCTGTTTAAATAAATATATGATTATCTTGATTTGTATTTTTACTTTTTAATGATAAAACAAATAACATATTTTAATTATTTAATAATATTATGAATATGATGATATATATCTTACTATTTTCAAATTATCATAATCCCTCTTTTGATCCTTGTAGAAATCTTCAATGCTTTTCACTTCCTCTTCTTTAACTGAACAAATTTCCTTCAATCGAGCAATCTCATTGTCTAAACATTTAATAGCGCTTTCATTTTTTCTTATTTCAGCCTTCAAAATAAGATTCTGAGACTTGCATTCACTCAAGTCAGCTTGGCATTTACTGAAACTGTTCTTTTCGGCATCACTCTTGTTCTGGTAGGCATCTAGTCGCCTTTGTAATTTTTCTGATTGAGATTTTTGTTGTTCTAGTTCTGTTTTAAGAAGTGCAATGTTTTTAACATGTTCCTTTCACAATTTCCTCATTTTCTGATTTCTCTGAAGACATACGTTCAATTAATTTCCGTTTTTCTTCAGTAATAGTTTTAAGCTTTTCTTCAAGTTGTTTCAATTCACGTTGTGTTATACGTTTGTCTAGATCACTTTCTGATAATTCTTTCTCCTAGAATTTAATTAATAATGATTGGATTAATGGCATAACTAAGAATTGAAAAAAATATATACATTTAATTACCTTTTTCCACAGAGCGGAATTGGCAACTTTGGCATTTTGTTTTTCCAATGCTGCTTGCTCAGTGGCATTTTTCAATTGCTCTTCTAGTCTTTTAATTTGTTCTTGTAAAAACATTGATTTTTGTGGAGATTCAGATGAGAATTTCATATTTGAATACTTATCGGCTTTTTCAATATTTTCAAGTTCAGATTCTAATTGAGATAACATTTGTTCTAAGCCTTTTATCTAAAAGCAATAGTAATATAGTTAATGACTTCAATTAGTCAGCTAAAACTAAGTACTTACTTTAGCTTTATTAATTTCGTCACTATCCACTACTGCTTGTAAACGCTGTTGCAAGCGTTCCTTTTCAGCAGCTGCTGTTTTAAGTTCTCTCTTAAATTTTCAATAAGAGTGTCCTTTTGCTTATTGCGTACAGTCAATGATGTTTCATGGCGCTCTAATGAATTTTGACTGTGTGTCAAGTCATTTTTCAAGACCTGGAGATAATATAATTACCAAATTTATATGTCTTATGCCAACAATATTATTCATATATTAACAAACTATTTATTATACCTTGACTTGTTTCTGTAAATTTTCTAATTCCATTCTTTCTCTTTTCAATACTTCTTCCATATCTTTAAACTTTACAATATCTTTGCGTTCAGCTTGAAGATCCTGGATTTTCTTCATCAGTTGAGGCATTTGTTCTTGTAAGGGCTGCAAATCCTCTAATTGTGACTAAAATTAAGAAACATTCATTCAAATAGTGTTTAAACACATATTTAATTAAATTTAAAGCATATTATAAATATTACCTCTAACTCTTTAATACTTGATTCATATTTTAAAATTTTATCTCTGCAAGAATGCAATTCCTTGCTGTATTGTTTTTCTTTCTGCTCAAATTCAAAACATTTCTTTTCAATTTCTCTTCTATTTTTCTTCTCAGCATCAAGTTTCTTTTGTAAATCTTCAACCTTCTGGCGATTTTCTGCATTTATGGTCTCGAAACGCATCTCAGCACCCATAATGCTTTGTCTGGAGCGCTCTTGAGCCTTAGCAATAGTATTCTATAAACAAATTAAATGACTTAGCTTATTTTAATGAATTATATGAAATATTGATTTAATTTTTGTTAAATTAATAAAAACCTTGCACTCTAGTTGTATATTTTTAATTCTTTCAAGTTCTTTAACTTTATCTTGCAAATCCTTTTGAGCTCGTTCTAATCTTGCTGCCAGAGCACCATTAGCAGTATCCATCTCTTTAATCTTTTCTTCTCGTTGATTCAAATCTTTTGTTAAAGCTGCTATCCTTGCGTTTCCATTCAATTCCCATTTCGCTTTTGTAGAAGCAATCAACTCAAGAGCTTGTCCTTCAAATGCTTTACGTTCCTTTCTTTCCATATCTAACATCCGTTTCATATTCTTAAAATATATTAACAAGAAGTTAAAATAAATTCTTACTTTCAAAAACAAATAAATTATTCATTATATGAAAGCATACAGAAAATGCTTCACTAAATATATAGCAAATAATGCACATTAATTTTTTTTTAACTGCTATGTGTAAATTCCAATTAATTAATGCTTGCAAATTATCCCACCACAAAGTTATGTTTCTCACAGAAATAATATGCAATAATTTTATAAACAATGTCACCAACACAGATATTGGATTATCTATTTCTATTTATCTATAGTTTAATTTCAACAATTTAATTCACACATCTATAAATCAAAATATTTACATCAAATCAAGTTGTATTTTGATATGGATGCTATTCAATTCTAATTCATTAATAGTTTTGCTCTATTTTGAATAAATATTTTTAAGGAAAAAAAATTATGTGAACTACCTTATTATCATTTTTATATGTAGATAATTCTCTCTCTAGCCTATCACGGATTGCTTCTGCGGATTCAACTCTTTTGACCTATAATAATTGATAATTAAATATGAATAAATAAATATATAACTAATAACTACTTTACCATCACAAAGCAATTATTTATTTACTATATTATTTTGGCATTAATATTATGATAATATTTACAACATAATTATAGCATTTACTTTTATAGCTCATTGCAATAATAAATTTATTTGCATTCAAAAACTTTTAACTTAAAAATTATTTATTTATTAGCAATACCTTTTCGGCAAGCCTTCTTTCCAAAGCTTCTGCATCCTGACTGTGTCTTTCTGCCTTGATTAATCGTTCTTGCAATCCTTCAATAGTTTTGCGCTCTCTAGAAGTACTCTCAAGTGGTTTTTCAACATTTTTGTTTAGTGTTACATTTAAATCAACATATGTTTTCGATTGTACACTTGACAAAATATCATTGTCCAAATTATGAATGTAAGTGAAGCCAATGAAAGGCAAATTTCTACCATTAAACTGAGTTTTTGTGCGAAAATTCTCTATTGATGGTTGAGAAGGTTTGTGAGTAAATTCCTCAAAATTAGATGTGTCATCACAACCATTTACTATAGGCACAAAAGGTGGAACCTAAGATAAAATAAAAATGTTGAATATATATTCAAAATTCTGTAGTTTAATAAAAACATATACCTGTTCTCTTAATTTATCCCAAATAACATCTTGAAATAATTCATGTGATACTATTTTAGGGTATGTTAATCTACTTTTACAGTCAGTCAATAAACCTTTCACAAAAGAAGAATATTCTTTTGAGGTTTCTTCAGGAAAAATGAGATCACTTGCAGCATTTTTATGATTCATTATTTTACTATAAGTACTTGCAATTGCTTCAGAACTAAATGGTGTTCTGCCTGTTAATAATTCATAAGCAACTACACCTAATGACCAATAATCGCAAGATATCTAAAATATCGACTTAATTATTATTCAAGAAACAAAATTATGATTATTTAAATGCATTGACACAAACCCCATATTTATCAGTCTTTGAACTTTCTACAGCCACTAAAACTTCTGGGGCAATGTAATCTGGAGTGCCAGCCGGCATCGCACTAGTTACAAAACCTGATGAATTCAATTTAGATGCTGAGCCAAAATCTGCCAACTTTAAATGCCCACATCTAAAAAATAGTACAATTAAACTCGATAAACAGGGGTTATTTTCTTCAGCTAACATTTAAAAAATAGCCAAATTGGAAATGACACATTAGACACTTTAGAATGTGAGTCTGAAAACATTTATAAAATCTCATTAACTTGATTTTTAAGATCATACCTATCTAAAAGAACATTATCGGGTTTAACATCTCTGTGCACATATCCCATACAATGCAAGGCATGAATAGCCAAAGCTAGTTCAGCAAGATAAAACTTTGAGGCAGCTTCGCCAATACCAGAACCATTTCCACGTCTTTCTAATAATCCCAGAAGATCACCACCAGGATGAAATTCCATAACCAAATATAAATGAGCCATATCCTATGATAAATTATATATAGGTCACACAGTAAATACAATAAAATTATAAGATTAATTGTGATAATACCTGAAAAGCATATTGGAGACTAGTAAGCCAAGGGCTTTGATTATTTGCCATAATATCACGCTCCTCTTCATAAAAACTGATATTATTTTTTCCTAGTGAATCACATTTTCGTAAAGTTTTCATTGCATAGACATCTCCTGTTTGTTTCTCTCTAACAACCTTAGAATAATATTTGTATATTAAATTTAAAGCTATTGAGATTATACTGAAGGCATATAATATTTACATGAACTTCTCCAAAATGACCACGGCCTATAATATTTTTTACTTCAAAATCACCTATGTTAACCCTGAGTCTTTTAAGGTCCAAAATTGTACTTCGATCTAGAAAGTTTAACAAGGTTTAGAATCATAAAGCTATATTGTGTGAAAAGAGAATTAAAATTACATTTATCTACAAATAAGGCTATGTTCTTATCAGATTTTTTTAATATATCAGAATTGCATTCATCGTATAAGGCCATTAGGGCATCCAAAAGTCCTTCCCTTGCAACACATTTCATAGAAGCAGATGCATTGTTAATATTTCTGCCTAGAACATGATTGTTCAAACGAGCTGAACGCACACTAATTGCTTCTTTTAAGGGCTCCATTGTATTTATATTTATTCTCCACTTTTATTTATTGTTTGTTTCAATGTTGTACATTTTAATTACATATAAAATCACCAATTCACTGCATAACAGTCATATTCATTTAGCATATAGTCAACAGTTATCAACCGTCAAACTAAGCATAGGATAGCTAAAAAAAGCACAAACAGGTATAAATTGCAAGTTCAACGTGAAGTTAGTGAAGAATAATGTAAACATGAAAACAAATGTAAACGGAAATAAATAATTACGACACGGGATATAGATGTCACTTAGCGGAATTGTAAACTTAACATTTCTTTTCAACAAGTTCTCCTAACCTAAACAGTTTAATGTTTTCAGTTATTAAATTCCATAATATTAAGTGACAATCAATACAATAATAAAGTTGTTGTGCTAAACGAATTTGTACCTATATATAATATGTCGTTGTTGCAGAGAGTAAAGTGAGTTTTTAAGTTATTAACCTGAATGTAGTAGTTTTCAAAAATAACATGTTTTTTATAAAATAGTTAAATTAAACATTGATTTATTTAATTTATATATAAACGTATTATACAAACTTATCGGAATTAAAATTAATCTTGCTTAACTTTTTATAGACATTTCTTTCATTTCTTTATTTTTTTTTTTTTGACTGATATTCTTTTGATTGCTTCACTCTTTAAAACATCTATTACATTTTCTATTATAGGAAACCTATTACTCACAAGGGGAAGAAAGTACTCTTAAGTAGAGAACCTAAACTTATTGAAGATCCCAAAAATGTATTATTGCTTAAAGGTCGTAAAACATCAGACGTAATTCAGCAGCAATTAATGATATTTATCATCTCAAAAGCCACAATCTAGAATGCTCTCTAAAAGAAATGATGTGAATGCATTTGAAAATATTGTTCCAGTGGAAGAGTAAGATTGCTAACTTCTTAATAATAGTTTTCTGAAGAATGTACAATTACTTTATGCCTTGAATTTTTAGATTAACCAGAAAAAATGAATCAACATTATTTGTCTTAGCAACTAATTCTAAAAAACGACCTCATAATTTAGTAGTTGGACGCATGTTTGACAATCGAATTTTGGATATGGTTGAACTAGGTATTGACAGTTACACTTCCCTAAAAGATTTTAAGAATGAGAAAATTGGTACTGGTGTCAAACCTTGTTTAATCTTCAATGGACCTGCTTGGGAACAGAGTAAGGAATTGGCTCGCCTCAAAAACTTGTTTATAGATCTTTTTCACAGAGAACAGGTATGAATAATTATCAAGATAAAAAATATTTGAAGTCATGCTTTGGATAATATAACAGTTTTGTTTAGGTTGAGACAATAAGGCTACAAGGCTTAGAGCATGTATTAAGTTTTACTGTAACAGAGGGCTCAACTATTTTATTACGGTCTTATCAAGTACAGCTGAAAAAGTCTGGTCAGAGAACACCAAGAGTTGAATTAAAGAAATTGGTAAAACTAGAGCAGATTTTTAAGTACTATGGATTCATAATACAGCAACTCTGATAGAATTTGTTTTATTATAGGGCCATCTGCAGATTTTTCACTAAGACGAACAAAGTTAGCTACTGATGAACTTTGGAAACTAGCATGCACAAGTCCAAAGCTTTGAAACTAGTTTAAAAGAAAAATATTTCAAGAGATGGATTGGGTACTACTCATGGACGTATTCATTTAGGAAAACAGAATATTCATAAAATCCAAACAAGAAAAATGAAGGGATTGAAAAAACTCCACAAGAAAGAAAAGCTAAAAGAATAATGAAAGAAAGCTCCACATAAATTGTTTTACTTATTAATGGTTTAGTTTATATAAATTAATGATTTATTTTGTATCAGAACAAAATAAACATATTTACAAAAAAAATTTCAATTTCTCTCCTTTCTGCTTTGACATAACCCTAAAATTTTTGACAGCGACGTGGATGAGTTCAAAAGTAGAAAAATAACTTTTGATCTATGACATATGCATTCATATCCTATATTAAACAAAAAATAAAATGGATAATGATATATTAATTTTAGCTGTAATTGCATCAGTGTTATTTATTACTAGTTTTTTTGTACTTGATTAAACTGAAAATGGTAAAAAAATGTAAGTACAGCTGCCCATAGATAAAGTCCTATTAGAGCAACTTTGAAATGTACCTATATTTCAATTATTTTATCAAATAAAATAATTGATTGTTTTGTAGCACCAGAACCTCAGCAAGGAGAACAGGTGCCAGTTAGACGGCAACAAGTGGTTAGAAATCAACGTGCTAGGCTTCGTGCAAATGGTAATAGTTTTAAATCATTGCTTTGTAAAAATAAGAAATAACTTAATAGCATGCATTATTTAG